GTTTTACGAAGGTTTTCATAACCACAAGGTTAATTCAACAACCCATTTTTTAACATTTGTATCACTCGCTTAAAAAAAAAGAGTGTAAGATTTGAAAGATAAAGAAAAAAAAGGTGAACAGGATCTCCCAGATTTTGGTTTTATTGACAATAGGTAAAGAAATTCATGACGCTACGGTTTACTGCAAAGAGAGAGAAAGAGAATGAAAAACTATGCAAGCAATATATAAATTTCTTACCTTGATCTTTGATCTTTTAATCTCAAAATCAAAAGGGGTCTTGCTTCAGTCATTTTTATTAAAGGTATAAAATTCCATTGCAAAACTACAAAGGAAAATAGTAACTATTATCATAAGGAAATGATTTCATACAAGTTACACATTTCTGAGTTTGACATCTGGACTTTATTTCGTCATTGGGTGTTAATTATGATTTTAAAAAACCTTGAAAAAAACAAAGAGAAATTAAAGGTAACATTTGAAACAATTTTTGCATTTATTTCTGGCCTTGACCTTAAGACTCAAATAAAAAATAATCTTGTTTAGCAAAGGGGGGCTGTGATGCAAAATTTCATTACAAAAGTTCAATACTTTTTTCGAAGATGTCGTCTGGAAACGAAAATGTTTCATGTAGACTTAACTATTCACAGTAAAAGCGGATGACCAAAACTTTTACTAGCTTGGATTTATTAAAGTTTAGGATGATAATTAATGAGTTTCATCTACGAATTCATTTTGACAGCTGAATATTGTGACCCATTACCCTTTACGTTCAACAATATTATTTTTATCTTAAAAAATCTTCATTCGTGAATCGTTCATGTCATATCAATTGGAATGCCTGTTTCCTACAATAATTCTTGCGACGTATAATTCCAGAAAAGATTAAGTTCTCGGAAAAATACAATAACCATGTTAGGATTGATCAACGCAAAACAACTTTTCCATGCATACGCGGCTTCATTTTAGAATATTCAATCTCTTTGATGACTTTGTCATGTTATTAGTTTGCACAGTGATTTACTTTCTTCATCTTACTTATATTGATTCCACATAACACATAAGCTTCTTAACATATACCCACAATGCAATAGACTGAAATTGAGAGACGATCATGTATTCGGCATCAAACTTGAATTCGCACTTTCTAGGCTTCTGAAAATGAAATGACTAATGCAAGGTTACATAAGTTCTGATTACAGTTTTTTGCACTATGGACACATATTCTAAGAATTAACTCCGAAACTTACATTCTGATGTTTACAGTACACAATATTCAAATGAATTAATCATTAAACTTTCTGCCTTAATTGAAAAAAAGAAGACGCTTTTCACCTTGAGGATACTAAACACAAAAAATTGATGATTAGATTGATTGAATTAAAAATGACATATAATAAATACTTAAAATATACAGAAATCGTAAGTTTTCTTTGGTGCTCAAATATGTGACTGTTTGTTGTTTTTATGCAATTTGGTTTTGTTTTGAACATATTTTATTGTATAATTTATACAAAGGGATTGGTTACAAGTTCTTGCAACTTAAAAAATCCTTTCCCTGTAATGTATACAATAATTATAATTAGTGATTGCCAAAATAACAATTGAAGGTGTAAAGTTATACATATACATGATAAATACAAAATATTTCAAGTTAAGACACTAAAGATTCAGAGTTCTTACAATATGTAAATCTATAATGTTTGTAAATGATTACAATGACAACATACTTTGGAAAGAAAAATATATGACAATAATGATAATAAATAATAAACATGATAACAAGTAAAATTCTCACATCATAACCAATCAAAGTTGTACAGATATGATTAAATGACAAATGAAACAGAAGAAGAAAAGGGGGTCAAAGTCTACCTGAATCACGAATGAACTTTTGGACACAGTGAAATATTTTGTTATTCACATCAACAGACAAGGAATCATTTCCAAATAATAAGAGATGGGAGTTGACTATTGTCAAGTGATTGAATTGTAAAATATTGTTTAAGAGGCAATTTCTTGGCCGCTCATATTTTTTACAAACAAAAAAGAAATTTGAAATTTGGTTCAAAGGTTTGCACGTATTTTTGACATTGAGACAAAATCTTACAAAAATCTCCTACTTTTGACGGAAAATATCATTAGGTTACCTATCTGAATATCAATCTATCAGAAATATTACTAATTTCTGAATTTAAAAATGTGTGTGCTATTCATCCTTAAATTGAGAAATTTTCAATGAACAAGTTGTATCTGAGGGGGGAAAAAACTCAGAATCGTTCATTTTTTTTTAATTGTGAGATAGAATACTTTTTTTAGTCTTTGTGTACAGTCACGTTCATGTGATTAATGTACAGGCCAAGAGAATCCTAATAAAGATAGGCTGAATTGATGAGGGTCCTCGAAGAAGGCATCATTTCAGCAGCATCACAGTGACATTTTTATTGCCAAAAGCTAGCACAAGACCTTTCGTTTATTTCTTGGGGTTTCGTATTAACCGAGAACTTATGTGGTAAATATTCTTAGTCAAGATAATACTGAATATCCAAAGGCTAAGCGGTTCTTTTATTTCCGAATTAGTATCTATACGAAGGATATATATCAATAAATTTATAATTAATTAATTAGCTTCTATAGAGAATATCAATTACGTTAATTATTCAAATTCTATTAACTCCTTTGTAATGTTAGAATAATCCAAGTCAAAAATAAATAATAAATAAAACATACGGGCAAATACATAGAAAAGTAAATGTTAGAGTTGGAGAGGAATTACAAATTTAATTGACCAAAGCCGTTAAACACTGAAAAGCAATTTTAAATTAACTACTATTACAAATGAGATAGTATCTTCAAATATCATATGAATAATTCATGTTATTGAAATCTGTCAGCTATCATAGTGTATGTGAGTTTCACACAGAATGAAGGTTTCAATTTGTCGATAACTTTGATTGCTCAATACCAGCATTGTTGGCTTTGTATAATATGCGCATAAAATTGTATTGTGTAACGTGTATTGTAATTTCGTTGAACAAATTTCAAAACTCTCTTTTTTCCTGCAACGGCCATTTGATGCTTTTGTGGAGAATGTCGCTGTTGCACATGTTTTGCTAGATCGGTCTTAATCTTAGTGTGCCAAATTCCATTAAAGATCCATTGACACAGTGGAGTTTAAAGTATTACTTTCAGGGAAGATTTTTCCCTCTTGTTCTATCGTATTGTAATTTTAAGGATTTACCGTGTGATAGTAAATACAAAAAATTACATTATGACAACTTCTCCCCGGTAGTTGTAATAATTTAATGTATTTACTACCAACAGGTAATATCAAAAATTACATCATGACAGTTCTGTATTTTTATTAGCGTTTTTCTGCACTGCATTCTGTAATAAGTGTTTTCTGTATTTTCTCGATAAGAAGATTTTTGTTTTCTCACATTGGTATCTCTTTAAGCTTTCTCATCGATAACCTCTTTCCCTCCATTGTTAACTGTATTTCGTCTCACTGGTACATGTTCTATGAAAATTTGTTTTTCCATCACTTGGGATTGTAAATTTCTTCCTATTGTTACTTGATAATCTCTGTATTTCTCTTGTATCTTTTTTTTTATTCCACTGGTACTTGAAGATATCTAATTTTTTCAACACGAGTAAATGAATTCCTTTCCATTTCTCAACTAGTTACTGTATTTCTTCCCTATTGGCAAATTAAGTTCTTAGTTTTAACTTCAGTGATCAAGGCATTTCTTCACTTTCGCATTCAAAGATCTTCTTTTTTCCTTTCATTTCTTCCATTTCTTTCCATTGTTACATTTTTCCATTGAGTAAAAATACTTCTTCCTATTGGTGCTTGAAGATCTTTGAATTTGATACCAGTGACATCTGTATTTCTTCCTACTAGTACATGAAGATGCATTTCTTCTCATTGGTTCATGTAAATCTGTATTTGAAGCATATGATTTATCATCAAATCAATCATATGAATAAAAAACTGTTAAATGCCAGGTTTTGATTCCATTGCTTCTAAAGCGCAAATATTTCGTAGAATTACAACTACAGAATTGCCCCTCCCAATACATGTACATTGACTTCCTGTCTTAAGCAATCGATCTCTTTTAAAAAAAAAAAAAAAGATCTTCTTGAAGTTTAATGATATTTAATAGTTAATGACTAAGTCTGTATTTGCAATATTGGGTAACTTTCACTGAAGATGTATCTAATATAACTAAAAATGGCATGCCGTCATATTTGAAGTTATAATATTTATCTCTTTTACTTTTTTGAAAATAAATTTTTAACTCCAAGGAAATCTTTGGATTTGTTTGAGTATAAACTGATATCTGTAACCTTATCTTGGTTTACTAGTAAGTTTTTGTCCAAGAATGTTTTTTGGATTTTCTTTTGTCTTTAAATGTTTGTTTTTTAGATTTTCTTTTGTCTGTAAATAGAGTTTCTATTTGTGAACACACTCAGTTTTAGTTTGTATAATACATGTATAAGGAAAAACCAGTCGACATATAAGTATTGGTATGTGCATGGGTGATTAGTATGTGGACTATCAGTATTGGTAAGTATATAATCAGAATGAGGAAACACCAGTGATGATATGTATGTGACCCGCACCTTCAGTACATGCAGTAATGTGTTGTTAAGGGCTTTGCTACGTGTGTGAAGGGGTGGGGCAACATGCACAATCCCCTAAGTACAATCTATCAGTACAATCTTTGTACTGGTACTAGTGTGCGGTATCAGGTACTTAATGTTTGTCCTCTTTTATCCCTGCTTTTATATGGCGATTGTTATGATTTATTGATGAGCATTCAATACCACATACTGATTATAGGAAAAGCTCTCATTTTTTTCATGTAAAATATTCATAAATTGATAAACTATTGGTTGTAGAAACGCAATGAAAATCGACATTCATTTGCTTGGACCAAGATCAGACTGGATGTGAGTTGAAACAAATTAAGTTGATTTTTTCAAAATTATGTTTCAGATGAAAGCAGCCTGGCGACAAGACCTTCCGTGTTTACTTGTATGTATTTTTTGTGCATGTGTAACTCATGGCATGACTGTGGACTTTTCAAGATTAAGGAAACCATATCTTCTACCAAAAAGAGCAGATTTTCTACCAAAAAGAGCAGATTCGTGTAAGTCTTCTTCAACATTTTCATTTTTATGCTTAAATCAAGAAAAATCGAAATGAGCGAAAAGGTATTCACAATGATGCAATCAAACACATCAAAAGAAAAGGAAGACCTTGATAGCATATCTAACTTTTAAATGAAGTTGTGTTTTTATATACTTTTGACTATATTTTTTAGAATTTATTTTTATTTCCTATATCTTACACTTTATCTTTTAGAAACTTAATCTCACGAAAACATAAGGATTACTTTTTATCATTGATCCAGAATATATATGCTAATTTTGACACATATGCATTAATTTCTGCGTGCTAAGTTGTGTGAATTTCCTAAATATTTAAACAGGTCTTATATAACTTAAACTTGAATCTAAATTATCCTTAATTTTACTACATTATTTATAAAAAAAAAAAAACTTGAACCAGCGCTAAATGTTCTACCAAGGTCTCTTAAGGATAATAAAACATATTTTCAGAGAGTAAGCACTGAGTAACCTTTTACATAAAAAAGAATTTACAAATGTTATTTTCATTTAGTTTGACTTTTTTTTAATTATTTAATACTGTTTAATGTTTGCTTTGTATCGAAATATACATTATACAACTTACACAAACTGATGTTTTGTTCTGTGACCTGCAGTATCATTATATTTCATAGCCAAACATAATACACCTATAGGACCCAAACATACAATCATTAAATTAAAAGATTGGATGGAAAATATCATTTTTCTCAAAATCACAAAATGTTATTGAGAGAAGTATTAATTTAAAAGAATCAGGAAAAAATAACTTTTGATTCTTGTGCCCGTATCTGTTTAATTTTTATCATAATTTGAAACAGATTATCACAAGGCATGGTTTTACTCATAAAGATATATACAACGTTTTTTTCTTTTCCTACAGAACTATGAATAGTTTATATTCGTGCATTTCACTTAATGAGTTAGATTTATATGATAAGTTGATTTATCCTGACTTTGATCACTTTTTTTATTAGTAATAAAAGGGTGATGTTAGTATATGGAGAGCTCATCAACAAAAAATACTGTAGTTTTATTTATATCCAAATTTGAAAATCAAGATGACAAAGAATGCAGTATACATGTATATATAAATTTTATTTATAGCAAATCCGTGCCCACCTGAGTCCCCCTTTCTATGTCGGTCCCCCAGGCAGATGTGCATAGCTCTAGGAAATATATGTGATCGACAACCAGACTGCCCAGATGGATTTGACGAAGATCCACAAATGTGTAATGCCAGTACGAATCTCATTTATTTGCTCTTATTTTAAATGTGTACACCTCCCTTAATGAAAATGGATGATGCTTTCTGGAACTGCTCAAAATGGATAGAACCATAATCATCAGTCTTCGTTACAATTCAATCATTTTCTAGTATTGAACACCTGTGTACATTTCTTTTCATTGATTAATGATTCGATGTCTCTGGAAGAAATTTTTTTCAAAAAGGAATTTTAAAAAATGATGATTTTTTTTATAAGCCTGATGGTGTCTGGTCACAATTAGAATAATTCAATAACAAAAATCACATTTTTTTTTCAGGAAACCGACCTTCAAAAGAAGAACTTGAGAATTTTTTGATTCGAAATGAAGATTGGATGCTTCCTAAATTGTTTAATGGAGCTTCTGCAGAAATTGTAGCGCATGCCTTAGTCGGTATGTAAAATCACAAACCATGAAATGTCTGCTAGTTTTATGTAGTTTACTTGCATGACATGAGGCGATCTTCTACAACTTTGATGAAAATGCCAATTTTGGCTGATGAAATTAATTTATTTGTTTATTTTTACAGTATCACCAAATCTGAGGGAATTGGGTGAAATTGTGGGATTAGGCGATAAAGAAGATAACTTACGTAAAGCTTTTCTAGCAGTAAGGGAGGGAGACGAGAGACCTTTACTTAAAATGGGTATGCCGGAAGAGGAATGGTATGACGTCCAAGACTACCTTAACAGAGTCATAGAAGGCGGACTGGAGGTGTCATAAACCTGGACAATAGACAAAATGAACTCAAACCAAACTCAATACTAGGTTCTGCATCCTTTTTTCATCATTTAGGGAACACATTAATTTATTTCTTGTATTTTGGCTCGTAGGCTCATAAGCACGAACGCTGAAAATGCTTTATTTCATTACATCCATGGTCTTTTTTTGTTATCAGAGTTTTAAGCAAAGTATAATATAATTTTATACATCTGTATCTATATTTTATGATTACATCGTTAAAATGCATTTACACACATATATGATATATATAAATATATATTTTTTGTTCAATATCTGTGTTATGCCTAAATTGTCATTTGTTCTCCACATTTTTATCATTTGAGCATCTTTCTTCTTGTAATACAAGAGGATGGAATTTGTTTCTGAACTGAAAGCAAACAGAACCAGACGCTTAGTGACAGTAATCGAATAACTTTACCAACTAACTTCATTTGGTATAGGCAGATGAGTAATATGTCTTCCTCTGCTTATTATAATCTTACATTGTATAAGAGATTGAATGTCACGTGGCTTTTCATCTAATATGATATAATTTTACAAAAAAACTATGGTGACGTTGAGACGATTTATAATTTTTTTTATACCTTTTTATTTATAGGAATCGAATTATTAATTCATTAATGCCTAAATAATCAATTAATGCCTATTATTCAATTTGCCTAACATAACAAAAATGTGACAAAATATTTTGTCGATAGGGACATATGTATTATATATAGACTTTGATTGTGCTGCTAATTTTAATTATAGCAAAGTTCTTATTCTGAAGCAAAAATCTCATCTTTTTGGATTTTAAATTTCTACTTGTTTAGAAAACATTAAATTTGATGATGGTCAAACAAGGCGAGCAAAATGCTTATGGTACAACAACTACGTAAATGTTTATTTTTCTTAATATTTGATTAACATCCACAATTTGCAGCATTCTCAAAAGGATTGAAATTATTTATCTATGAAATACGAACACATAGAAGAGGACAGAAATAAACATCTCTTCCTGCTAGAACACAGTTTTCCATGTGTCTTAGCTCTATTTTGTTAGAAGAAAAAAAATTCCTAAAGTAAGCTTAAAAATGTACATTTATCGATTGACAAATGCATGGAACAAAGACCCTTAATACCCTTTAAATACAGTTACAATTTTCCTCCATCATTTCATACATTTAATAATAAGAATTTTAATCTAACTACTAAATTTACAAATTGAATTTCATTTCTGTGTACTTTTGAAGCTTTTGGGCATTTTGCACACCTTGTATGCCAATCTTTTAAATAATTTGTTGAATAATTTGCAGAGCAAAAACTACATTTATCTATGTTCTAAATAAGAAACATTCCTTTAAAAATCTTAGGTGGTCTTCGTGTACTTTTTATTTCTTAGACAAACTCGATACGATGAAATGTTGTTGATGATGCTTAACAATGAACGTTTATTTTGTGCAATAAAATTGGATTTTTTTCTCATGTTTATATAAATATTTATATATTTTGAATTTTTATTAGGATAAATTTGTCAGCAATGTTGTTAATTTAAATGAAAAAATAATAATGATTGTAATTTGAAAAAAAGAAGATATATTTGAAAGACGAACTTTTTTCTGGTTATGTTTAGGAATCCAAATTAAATTTTTGTAGAGTAGTCTCAGGTATTAAAATTTTGTTCCCCATGTTCATGAAATAAACTATTATTTTGTTTTTCTTTGTCATATTTCTTTAGTGTTCATTTTTTTTCTTAACACTTAAAATCATTTACTTTTCTTCAAGTAATAGTTTATTTGGATTTATATGTCGATGCACCCTGTTTGAGCCTAGGATATAAAACCAGGACTATGGTAAAGTCCTTATCAGGTCCATTAAACGCTCGTATATGAATTTTTCAAAGTAATATGAGCTGCATTTTTGAGAAATTTATTTTGCTATTAAAATTTGCCATTATGATAAATTTGTAAGTAAATTTAAATCATGATCAATTAGATTAAAATAAAATACTGTAAACGTATTACTTTTAGCGGTGTATTCTATTTAGTGATTTTGGCGGAAAGCTGAGTCCGCTAATTCAAGTACATCGCTAAATGTCTTGTATATTTTAAAACATTTATAACTAGCACATTCAGAGAGCGCTAAATCAAATCTACGCTAACTTGCTGAACATTGAATTTCCACTAAATATCGTACACGCCAAATATAATATATTTGCAGCATTTAATTGTTTCATAAGAGAAAGATCTCTCCACAATTAAATATCTAGTGTTATGTAAGAAACAATATAGTACACGACGACAATAATTTGTAATTTTGCTTGTAATAGTTCTTCTATTACAAATATGAACAACAGAAGGTTATAAATATTCCTTTTCTCTATTCTTACAATAGTTCATGACAATTTTACAACAGAAAATTTTGACATCAAAGTTGCAGCTCATTTTGCTTTAAAAATATGTTCATAACATAATTGATTGCATTTCAACATATGGAGCATCATGTTAACTAGCAAAATTTAATATGAGTACGAGCGCAAACAAAGCAAATGGAACGCAACAAACATTTAGAGATACCATTATGGATTTCTAAAAATACCATAATGTGTTTAGATGTTTCACTCGTCAGTCGTCAACTTTTGAAAATAGATTAACATGGACCTCTTATCAATTTTATTTTTACATAACGCAGGTATTTGATTGAAGAAGGATATGGAGATAACGAACAGTATTCAGTCTCAAAGTCCATAAAACAGTACAAAATAAGAGCAGAGCAAATACGGACCCCCGAAACATCAGAGGTGGGATCAGGTGCCATGGAGGAGTGAGCATTCCTTGCCGACCGGTCACACCCGCCGTGTGCTCCTTGTCATGATCAGGAAATAACGGAAGAAATCCGTCGTCAATTCAGTGTATAAATAATGGACTAACAATTGGTATGAAAAACGTCAGTCAGCATTTGACTTAATGATAAATTGTATTTGCTGACACGATTTACTGGAATCATACACGAATTCAATTTCAAAGCTACTCACTAAAACTATGAAAACCGATTTATAAGAAACAATACAATATCTAATGGTGGCAGGATATTTTAAAAAATATTTTCAGAGACTAAACATTTGTTTCATCCAGTGTCTTGAAACTTTTACTTTAATTGGCAGTTTAGAGTTTTACATGCTCACAACTCGTGAGGATGCGAGTTTTAATACTCAACGATGTTTTAAACGTCGTATTCAACCTTCCTCAAATAATTTATTTTCTCCATCAATAAGTCTACTCTGCTCTGTTTTTTGCAAATATCAAAACAAAATGTTTGTTGCAACTGAGCATTTATTGTAATTCCAAGCAAATTAACCAAATATGTACAAAAGTTACATGTGACCATATCTGAATATATCCCTTATAAGGCTATTCATATACATAAGGAAAAAATACAAATATGACTAGAAGAATTTGCAAAAAAGATTGGAGAATATAACTCCACAAACTTGTCAATAACTAACAAGTTATGGACAAGTTTTATTAATGAAAAAAGGTCAAAGAAAAAATTATGCGCATTGATTTGCAATATTTGTTTTCAATTAAAGAATGAATTTAATAGCTACCCAAGTTATACAGTATAACATTAACATGGGTTGGGACAGTGTGCGCTGTATAAAGCGGTTAATAAAAAAGCGTATGGTGTTCCAACCTTTGTTGTACCAGTATAACTTGGGTAGCTATTAAATTCATTATTTTATTAAATAATTATTTTATATAATTTAATTTTTTATCATTCAATGTAGACAATAACGACAATTTTCCCTTCGAAAATGATTCAAAACGAGCATATTTTAAATTTAACGTCAGGCGGAGTAATATGTTTTTGACGTTACTTATTATGACGTAGGCAACTTATCCTATACAATATGAACCAAATCTCTTATCAAATCTACAATTTATATGCAAACAGTTTAAGTTACTTACATCGTTACCCAGTAGGATGCAATAATAAAGCCCATTTTTTTGCTATGTGAATAGAAATCTACACTATACTTTTTTAAAAATTCTCGAAAAAATACATACAAGGAGTGCATGACATACATGCTTGTTAACGCTGTAGGGATATGGGTTCCATGACTTGTGCGACTTTGTCATCTGTTTTTCTTCAACTCAAGTTCCCTGATTTTTTTACGTAGTCTACAAATCTTAGCTATAGGACTGTCGAAAGTCATTTAACAATTAAAACATTCAGGACCAAGGGTAAGAGAAAACAGGTGACTAAAGAGCATTTATCATGGAAACCTTCCTTCCATTTACAAACCTGGTTTTCTTCAAGTTTATGTACAATATCAATTCTTAGATCAAGGCAGCCAATCAATTGGACGTTATAGTTCTAACGTGGTTTGAGAAACTTAACATGCAAGCAACTGCATATGAAAGAATCCCACAGCATTTAAACAGAAAATAGTCATTTTAACTAAATTGAAAATTTTATAATTAAAATCTTCTACATGACATTCATTGTAAAAATTCGAATTACTATATAAATGTAGTGAACGATGGGACTTTTCAATACTTTCAAAGTTAAAGTGTTCAAAGAGATGCAAATTTAGTCAATGGACAGACAGAAGAAACCAACAACTAGAAAGACGAAGGGTTTGAGCAAACAGTGCCAAGCACAAAAAAAATGTATATTTATTGCGCACAAAAAGGTGCTCTCGATTTTGGATTAATTTCTACAAATTCTTACCTCAATTGTACACAAGCTCGATTTCAAAATAAACCTTTGACTCCCTATCAAGTACTTCCATATCTGATACCTACACGAAGCACGTTGGACCAAATTACCTTGCTGCCTAAACATACTAGAATAAAATTTCGTTGGTGTCAATTTTAGGCACAAGAGAGCCATTTACAGTGGGTTTTTTTGTGGAAATAGTCAAAGAATATGTTAGGAATACACGATAAATAATATTTTGAGTTGGCAGATTGAAAAACACGGTGAAATAAATCGAGTAAAAGCGCTGTTTTTTGTGCGCAAAACAAATATACTTTTTCAGTGTCACTGTACCTCTGCGGTCTTTCTGTGTATTTTTCGGAGAGGTACATTTCTGCAATGAGAGAGAGAGAGAGAGATATCTACCATTAGAAAGTTCGGGTTCGTATTGCCCGGATATGCTGCGTGCCAACCTGACTCTTTGGAATCTTGTACCGGTACGCAGATGATGTAACTTGCCATTTGATGCTTGTGATTGACTGATAACTGATAAAAGTAAAAAAAAAATAATAATATCTGTTATTGTTTCT